GTTGAGCTATAGGCGCCGAGCCTAAAGTATATATTTTTAAAAATATATATTAAACTTTCCAATAGCTCCACTAAATTTTTGAAGGTCCAGGTAAAATAGTGACTCATATATTTATTTGGCCTGATGACAAAAACAGGACTGCTATAATAACTGTTTTCTTATTCTCTTAATGTTCTGGCCTCGGAGTTGGGGGGCTTGATCTTAGAGAGACAACTCTTTTCAGAGATAGCTAATTTCTAGAAGTAGTAAAGGACTCCTCTACTAGACCCCCTTTTACATACAAATCAGTCAATCCAGAGCCATATGCCAACTGTTTTCTTTGTCAAACCCTCACATACCAAGCCTATATTCTCCCTCCCCTATCTCACCTCCTGAGGTATCAGAAAAACAGGGATCACTGCCTATAGCCCAGAACCCGCTGAAATTATTCAACCTGCCCATTCCCAAGCACGCTAATCTCAACAGTAAAAGTTCTGGACATGCCTTGTTCTTGCCCTTTCTCTGCCACCTGACCAACCTGGTGCCTGCGCCACATACTGTGCCTCCCCTGTAGGGATCTGGGGTAGAAAGTTCATAACAATCATTTCCACACCTGCTGACTTTCCAGACCTGATTAAAACAAGTCACAGGTATGCTTCAGAACAGCTGAGCAGCCAAACATTGCCCTGCCAATCACTCCAACTCCACTCTCTTTCCCTGTTGTTAGTGAGACAGTATCTCATAAGTTAGGTAAAGAGACCAGAGGAGACTAATTGATACCACATAAATAATTTACTGGGCAGGTGAAAGACTGGCCTTTAACTGGCCATTTAGGGGGCAAAATGCTTTTCCTTAGAAAATATGGATTATTCTAATGGTCCCTAACAGCCAGTGAGTACCTGGGCTTAAACGTGAACACCAAGAATTTGTTTGTGGCCAGTGATTTAGGTGTTTGGTTATGCAGGGATAATTAATGTCAATTTTCCGAACAGAGATGATATGTACTATATTGTAAGGGGAAAAAATTAATCTTGTGCTCATAAAAAGATCCATTTGTGCATCTGGATTATATCTTTATCAGTGTTCATTGCTGGCATTTCAGGAAATTAAATGCAAAATTAGTAGCATCTTCTGACAGTAAATTTTATACAGGATTATTCTTAATTACAACAGTGTTTTCCACACTCGTCAGTTATATAGTAGGAGAGTAAGTTGAAATCTGAAATTTATAGAGTTAACATTTCACAGGTTCTAACATTTGCTATTAACCCTTGTAGTACATATTTTATAATTTATGTGTTATAAGCTTCCAGGCTGCTATGAAAATTTGCCAGTGAGTGATCCTGTTACTCACTAGCCACATCTCAGGTAATTTGTAGTCCTTTATTAGTAGTTATGTGAGCACTGTATAGTTAGAATTTTTATTCTATAGCAGTAAATTCCTGAAACACTGATTGTGAAAGTTTAGGGATGGATTTCTCAAGAATGCACCCATTAAAATGACTTTCTATCTACACAAACATTCACAAAGTCATGTTTAGTTTAAGTGTATTTTCCATCTTAAGAAAATTCACCCTTCCATTCATTCCAACCCTACACACTGTCTTCACCTTCTCTCCAACTCAGAATCCTCCTACTTATTTATTAAATTTATATTTATTAAAAGGCTAGAAAAATCCTCCGATAAAAATGCTCAAACATTCTTCACAGTGAAGGATTAAACTGGAATTATTCCTTTATATGAGAGTAGGGTTTATTTGGAATATTGTAGTGCAACAGCTCCAGTTAAATGTGAAATAGCATTAAATCAAAAAGATCATTTAAATAATTTCTAACAAGTGAATTAAAAAGGAATATTTAGTTCCACATCAGAAAAGGCAGCTTTTAAAGCTTCCCTCTTAACACTTTATGTTCTCTTTAAGCAATTACACATTGATTTCAGTTTATCTAATTGAACAATTAAGTGAAATAAATCTGTTTTGACAGAGAGAAATATCGTAAATACCTTAGTAAAATAAATTCCCCCCTTATACACACTACTCATGATTTTGATTGCTGTAAAAATATGTCGACAGCCTTAAGTCATAAATGAGACATACAGTAAAGCAAAGGCATCAAAGAAATATAAACTTAGGCATCTTGTAATTCTAAGCCTCTAATCCAATATTTATAAAAGATAAAGACACTTAAAGTATCTGGCATTACGAATATCTGTCTGGCAGTTTTCCCTTTACAGAAATGATGGGCTAAGAATCACAGTATATATTTTTCCATCCTTTTACTTTCTACTTTTCTGTTGAAAGTTATCTTATATTTTATATGTGTCTGTTATAAGTGGCATATCGTTAGAGGATCTTTTATTTTTACGTGAAACTTTTATTGTACTTACATTAATATAAATACCAAGATACTTGGGTTTATTTCTCCATCTACATATGTTGATTTCTATTTACCCCTCAAATGTTCTGTTTCTTTTTTTTCTTTCACCTTCTATAATTTTGGTTTTGAGATAGAGTCTCACTATGTCACCCTTAGTAGATAGAATGCTGTGGCAAGCAACCTCCAACTCTTGGACTAAACGGATTCTCTTGCCTCAGCCTCCCAAGTAGCTGGGACTACAACGCCCACCACAATGCCCGGCTATTTCTTTGTGGCAGTTGTTCTTGTTGTTTAGCTGGCCCAGGCCGTGTTCAAACCCACCAGCCTCAGAGTATGTGGCCAGCACTGTGAACACTGAGCTATGGGAGCTGAGCCACACCTTTTATAATGTTGCTCTTATTTTTCTCATTCCAGTATTTTCCTTGTCAAGATTAGGAATTTTATACTTTATCTCTTTCAGGAGCTGTTCCTGTTACATAACCACATAAAAGTCTGAAATTGACCAATATCTTTACCATTGCTCTTGGATTCTTTTAGCTCTATATACTTTCCTCCCAATTGGGAAGTGTTAGTGTTGTTGTTCATTTTAATTATAATTTAATTGAATTCTAATTTAAAAAGCTTTATGAAACACTATTTTTATTATTTGTTCAGTCTTCTTTTCCTTTTAGATTTATTCATATATACATTTCCTTCATGTAACATCACTTTTATGCCTTTAAAATGTTCTTTAATAAGATTTGTTGAAGACACTTACCTTAAAAAGTACTTTTGCTGGGCATAGAATTCTAGATTGGCAGCTACCAGATTCCATTGAATCCTTGTTTCCATTATTGCTTTTGAGAATTGTACTACCTAACTTTCTTTACTTTGGAAGTAATCTGCCTTTACTCTCTGACTAGTTTGACATCTCCTCTTATCTTTGGTGTCTTGCAGCTTCATTGTGAGGTCTATGGATTTCT